GTCAGCTTCAAATGCAGTATGCAGGCAATATTTTTATTTAATTGGGATCTAGTTGTTGTTGCTAATGTTTGTTTTAAGATAAATGCAGCTGTTGAGTTGGTGTTATTTTGCTTTGAAATATATTATACTAGCTTTGTCAATCATAGCATCTAATGTGATGCCTCTATTGTTGATAAGTCGTTGTTGGATATATTAGAAGTTATACCACTGATAAAGGAGTCACAAATTGCTTCCTCTTGGTATTGTAATGCAGTAACTGCTTTAGAGTTACAATTTTTGACAGATACTTTAAGTACTTGGATATAATCATCAGATGATTTACCTGATTTTCTGATAATTGTAAATTTATATATAAAAATTTAAAAAGAAAATTGTCTTCAAAAAAGTTACATTAAAATACTATTAGGATTTTATGTATTAATAAGAAACTTAACTTTAAGTTTTGTTGAATTTTAGCGCTGGCTATATTTTTTTTAATTTTAAATTTTACTATTTGTGGCTGTTCTACAAACTACTTTGTGCGCACCCACAGAAAAATGGTTAGCTGTTTTGAAGATTTTTTTCTCCTTCGAGTCGAACAGTTTTATTTATAATTATTTTATGTATTCTATTTATTGCAATCCAAAGAAAAAGTTTGAAAAATTCTGCTTCTATGTGTAAAATGTGTAACAATATTGTTCAAAAACCTTTATGTTTTTTACAAAATACATATTAGTTTTTATTACTATTTACATAGTATTATATTACAAAAAATAAATTTTAGGGCTTCTTACACTTGAGGCGGTTGGCACCCTATTGTTAGATAGCCCAATATTTTTTGAAATCCTTTTAGTACAAGCTTTTTCATAGAATAAATTCATTTTAGGCACATATTTTTGCCTATAAAAATAAATTTGTTATGTTATGACAACTAATAGTATTAAAAAAAAAAAATTACTATTTAATTAAAATAATAAGTAATCTATTGAATATGAAGTGTTTATTGAATATAATAATATAAAACATATAGGTTGAATATTAAAGCAACAACAGAATGTTATACTTTTATATATTTTGAGGTCATCAAAAAATGATAAATAAAAAGTCGCTTTATTATTTTAGTATAGTTTAGAAGTTCCATTATATCTTTTTTTATTAGAAGACATCAAACCTCTGCTAATGAATTGGGCTCTTATGTAAGCTTCTTTCTGATGTGAGGAAATGGCCTGCAACTTCTGTGACAAGCTGTACACACCTCTCAACTGATTATGTATATGAACTCCATTGGGGAACAACCACGGGGTTATTAATTAAATCCTTAATATCTGAAGATGTAAAATTACATGTGAAAGGTGGTTCTGTTGTATTATTGCTCCAGTCTATCATAGTAAAAAGATTTTTAGCATCAATGTTATTATCAGGTGTTCTTCGATGTCTATGGCTATAAACACCATTATTAGTATGCTCCTAATATATTTCCCGAGGCTTAAAAATAGTTTCCACAGCTTGAACTCTTTCAACTTTACTCTCACTGCATATCATAACTTGTAAAACTGATCTTGTAATTAAACATATTTAGTTTAGGACTTTATATGTGTTTTTAAAAATGGTATTTTTATAAATTGTTGGATAAAGAACACAATTCACATAAAAATTGCAATATCAAAAACTGGCTTCCTTTGGTTTCTCAGGAGTTCTAATTGGTATAAAACATGCCTTGGTTCCTCAACCAAACATGGTTTAACTGGAATATAAACATCAATAATAATTTCGATAATCCAGGTAAGATTTTGAAGATTGGTACCATATAGGCCATGCTGAGAAACCCATATCCTGCAAAATCCTAATGCTGATGTAAGCCACCTGCTATGGCAAACAGGTCCTATTTCTGACATTGCTAACTTCTGAAGTAAATCACCAGACCTTATTGCTTTTGTTATTCTGTAAGCATAGCTCTGATCAGAACTTAAACCTTTTATTACTTCAGGACTAAGAACAATAAATGCAGGCCCAACATCAATTTTTACATTTGCACTGTCTCATCCTATAGCTTTTAGTTGTGTGACTAACCATAAACCAGTTAACCAAGTAGTCTGCAATTACCTCGGAGTGTTTTCTGTGATCAGTCTTATCAGGAACAAAATAAAATAGATATCTACCACTTGGTTTAGTAACTACAGAATAATGTTCTTCCTTAAAAAGATCAGGGAAATACCTACCTTTATTTTGTATTTTCTTTCTTGCCATTAAAAAAAAATACATGAAAGCACATTATTTTAAAGACTTTTATTAAATTTAATTCAATAAATTTAGTAAAAATCTATAAAATATAAGTCAACTTTGTTTGTTTTTCGATCTAAAAATAAATTAATACAAGAATTAAATTTTTTGTTATTATCATTAAATTAATGGTTTATAAAAAACATAAAAAGTAAAAATATTGAGATATTGAGATATTTTTATAAATTACTATATCAACATTTAACTTCTCCAAAAATAGTTATATTAGAATTATTTACTAACAAACATATTTTAATATTACTTATATTATTCTGTGCAAAGCAATTATAATCTTCTGGAATCATTTGGTTGAGTTTTTCTTCTTTTTTTAAATTTCTTAACTCTCATTTCTAATTTCTGCAAATACTCCTCTTTTCTCTATAAAACTTGTTTTCTTTTTGTTGATTCTATTATGTCAACTTTGCCAGTATAGTAAAGGGCAAAACTTCCAACTTTGTCTCTTTGTGACTTGATAAAGCTGTGACTTGATAAAACTTCCATTACAAAAATTCTCTACATGTAACGTTGCTCTGTGTAATTACAATTTTGATTTATGAGTGTACTTTTAAAATTCTAACTCTTTTGCCCCAGTCTTTTGCGGTTAAAAATCTGGTTACGAAATCAGAAGATCAGGATACCAATGTAAAATGTGATGTTTCACAAGAACAGGTGAATTATAAACAATAGAAAGATTCTTGATAATGCATAAATCAGAGAAAAAAGTGATCCTAAATATATGTTTATGAGTTTATTAATTTTATTAGCAATCTTTAACTTAATCTTAATTAAAACCTTTATTTTCTGCTAATGAGATTAAACTTTAAAAAGTTGATAGAAATTGCTACTATAAAGTTTCCACTGCAAAAAGCTTGATCATTTAATTTTTTTTAATTATCGAAGCATAACCAAGTAAAGTGCATGAATATTTTATCTCTAAATCTCCAATATATAAAAATATATATAAAAGTTAATAACTTTATATATAGTTTTATAATATAAAAGCATAGTATAAGTAGTATAGTATAAAAGTTTATAAACATATTGAAATAGTTATAAAAAATATAAAAAATGAGGCCAGATTATTTATAACTATATCTTATTTATGAATTTCATTTCTTTATTAACTATATATTATTTTCAAATTTCAAGACCTATATTTGTCTTATTACTTATATAAAGTTAAAAAGTTATAACGCAATTTTAATTTATGTAAGTTTTAAAACTTAAATAAATTGGAAATTTGTTAACTAAATCAAAGAAACTATAAGACAGGATCTAATAGTTTAATATACGTTTACAAAATCTGAACGCTTTATATACGTTGATTAGACTAGATTTAAACGTAAATTAGACAAAATCAGTGGCCGTATTCTCATCTCTCCGTTAAGCTTAACGGAGCTTTTGTCAAAAAGTTCTTTTTAACAACATTAATAAAATAAATTCTTTAAAAAAATAATTTTATTATAAAATTGTTTTATTTCAGTCTTAGTTTTATTTAAACAAATTCAAATAAAGTTTTTGTCACTTCTTTACTTAGAAATGTTGTAGTGAAATTTTTGACAAACGCTCCGTTAAGCTTAACGGAGAAATGAAAATACGGCTGCTGAACGCTATATAAACGTAAAAATAATTCTATAATAGACGTCTAAAATACGTTTTATTTTAGACGTTTTATGAACGCTTGTTCTACACTTTAATCAGGATTTTATTGTAAATGGATAATCGACCAAATCTGAACGTGTTGTCGAAACGTTGTGTTGAGGTTTAATGGACGTTTGTGTGTTTACGGAACTGCAAACAAAATACAATATATAAAAGTCATACTACATTAGAGTATTAGATCTCTGCCTATTGCAGGATCAAGGTTAGTGTTAAAAAAAGGTTGAAAAACGCGTTTATTTAAGATTCTTATAAGAATCTTGTTAAGTTCACTAACTCACTTGTCAAAACACGGCTTGCTTATTATAAAAAGAAGAAAACTAATAAAAAAACGATAATAAAAATTGTAAATCAATTATGAATGGAAGTAAAAAGAAATAACAAAGTCCAATTTTGTTAAAAACTTCTACAGTCTTAAATTCATCTAAAGATGAAGAGTATCTATGCATCTATTCTTGTGAATTAATTGCTAACAGCTGATCAAAAGAAAAGTAGTTTTAATGCAAAGCTAGCCAAAAATGGGCTTATGAAGAATGTACACCAGGCTTACATCAATTTTTATGTGAACTGTGTTCTTCATCCAACAATTTACAAAAACACCATTTTTAAAAACACATATAAAGTCCTAAATTAAATATGTTTATAGTGTTATATTAAAAAAAAAAAAGACACTTTTTAGTATAAAGTATTTTTTTTGTTTTAGTATATAGCCTTTTTTTTTTCCAGATTATTTAGAGATATTCTTTGTATTATATAAACAAAACTTATTGGTACTAATTTTAAATATAATCAAAACATACCGAGAAATGTGACAATCAGCCCATAGTATGTGACAACCAACCCGTGGGTGGGGTTGGTTGTCACACAAAAGAGGACTTTGACAAATTATTTCGCAAAAAATATTTCATTCAATTTTATAAAAACATTGTAATAGTTACCGGAATTAGTTAAATTACTTTCATGCAAAGTTTGGCCTTTATTTGATAAAAAATAAAATCTGAGTAGTCTAAAATGTAAAAAGTGTGACCACCAACCCCGTTCTCCCAAATTAGATGTAAATCAAGAGTTGATTTTATTTTTAGATATGTTTTGGATATTAGTTTAAATTTGGACTATATCAGTTTAGTCGAATCAGCATTTAATGTAACCTGGGAATACCTTATTCCTCCTTTTATAAATGTGAAATATGAAGATTTACCAGTTGATATAATAAAAATTAACTCTAATAAATATAAATATAAAGTAAGTATCTTGATTCTGACGATTATGTTATTTTTTTAATTCACGTTATAATTTTATTTTTAAAAGTTTACTTATGTTTTGAATATTAAAGTAAATGTTTTTTGTTTACCATATATCAGATATTCAATTTAAAATACAAAGGAATCAATCAAAGTATAATTGCTACACTCAATAATACTCGGTGTTTATTTGGCGGAATATACAAAATTAATGTACCAATTAAAGTATATTTTGAAAATACTATTGGAAGTTCTTGGGATATATTCAAAACAATATCAATAAATATACAAGAAAACTGTCCAAAAACAAACGATTCAAGTCATATTATGCCAACCAACCCTAATCATGTACCCGGTAAGTTCTGTGTTTTTCTATTTAAATATATAGTCAAAATATTGGTTTTTAAAATAATTTATTTTTTCAATAGAAAAACTTAAGATGCACAAATGCATAATTTAAAAGCAAAAAAGTATTACTGATTTTCATACTCATTAGCAAAACAATAACTTTTTTCAAGTAGCGCTGTCAGTATATTCTATAAATAAGCATATATTCTATATGCTCTTAAATAATCAAGCAACAATAATTATGTAAAACACTTCCTAACTTATTATTGCTAACAAGTCTAACTTTTTTTTCAATAGACTGTTTCTCCTTCTGTAGGTTCGTTAGGAAAAATGTCTATACATCAAAAAATTTTATTTTAAGAAAAAATATTTCACAAAACAACTACAGGTGTTATATAATTAATTAAAACAATTCCAAACTTACTCAGAAACTTTTTAATGTTTAGACATCTACAGAAATTTTAATATTTAGACAGAATCTACAGAAGGACCCAGAGCCTGTCGATAAATTTATGAGTATTTTCACACACATAATTGTTTAAAGAATTAGCTGAGTGTTTTCACACACACACACACACACACACACACACGTATATATATATATATACATATATATATATATATATATATATATATATATATATATATATATATATATATATATATATATATATATATATATATTTTATTTGTACATACGTAAACGAGCAAAAATTTAACAGCTTTAAATAAAGATGACTTACAGTCAATGTTAATGTGCTATGTTACTGTCTATTTTTTTTAAGTTTTAAATATACTGGATTAGAAAATTTAAAACGATAAAATAAGCCATCCAAGATGTAAAAAATAATAATGTACCAGTCCGGGCAGCGGCTAAAAGTATAGTGTACCAAGAATTACTTTAAAATATAAATTGGAAGGCAAGTCACCCATTGAAAGATGGGACCTCAAACAGTCCGATGCTATGAAGAGAAAATAGTTATTGTTACTTGCTTAAGTGTAGATCACATATTTTTTTCGCACGAAAATAATGAATGAACAGTTTAAACTCGTTACAGTTAATTTCTAGAATGGAATGTTAACTATAAGATCTAAAAATAGTCGAAACAAGATTTCCTGTAACTGTAAAATAGTGTACAACGGTTCAAAATAGTGTACAACGGTTGATGATTAACCTTAGTAGAAACAATCTTTTTACTAATAATTGTTCTAAGAGGACAAGGATCCACGGATCTTTAAGAAGGTATGTATATCTAAACGTATAAACCAAAACTTAATAGTTTTCCGTACATCAACGACACAGGACAATATTTTACGGTAGTATGCAAAAGTTAAGGAATACATAAAAAAAAAAGATATTTTACAAACCTTATGGATGCCTCATGGTTTTTTAATTGCGATGAGACTGCCTTTTTTCCTACCACGAAAGGAACTAAATTTCTTGCAATAAAGGGAGACAAAATAATATATCAACAAATTAACTCAGATGACAGAGAGTGTGTCACAGTACTGATTACTTTATTAGGCTATGTCAACAGAAGTGTTGTAACACCATTAGTGATCTACAAATATGAGCGGTTTCATATGGAAATACTGCTAAACCTTTACCCCAGTTTGGCACTAGGAAAAAATGTTTCCAGTTGGATGTTGTCCGAACTAATTTATGAATTGTGGAAAAAACATTTTTTACATTTTGCTTAAAATAATTATTATAACTTTTTCTGTTATTTTATTTTATCTTTGACATTTTTTCTATTTAAGTATGCAAACAAGTCAGTTCTGCAATCAAAATGGGATTATTTTGGTGGCTTTATATCCTAATGCTACCCGCATTTTACAGTCTATGGATGTTGCGGTGTTTCGCATTTTAAAACATGTTCATGAGTGGCGCAGCAATTTCTTATATAAACCCATCTTGAAGAAAAAGATTTTGATAAACTGCTAAAAGAAATAGTGGGTAAGCATCTTACTCACTTTGTCTTGGCCAACGATTTTCGCAAAAGTTGACTCTATCCCTGAGATCCAACCGTACCGAGGGTTTAAGAAAATAAAAATAACATTTGTAAGCAGAATGCTTTGCCAAATGACGATATAAATTCACGTTTCCAATTTGTTAACTAGGGATTGCAACTCTTAAATGAGAGTATTAAAAAAGAAATATTGGAATTATTCGAGCAACCTACAATAAGTTTGGAAAGGGATCCTTCTGCCAGATCACTATTTTTGTTGTAAAAGAAATCTGAGTTAGAACTTAAAAGGTTTTCTCTAAGGTGTCTGTAGAACTTGGCCAATTGTATTAAAAAAAAAATTGAAAAGAAGAGCAGCTTTAAAATAGAAAAAAAAAAGCAGCAAAAAATAGCAGCTAAAAGGGAAAGAAAGAAAGAAGTGCAAATTCAAGAGAATGACAGGAAAAGAAAAAAAAAAAAAAGGAAAAAAAAATTAAAGAAAAGAAAACCCCATGAAGGTTTCTTTATCTATTTCTATTTCTCAGCTAAGCGATGGTGAAAATTCTAAATGATATAAATAATCATCAGATAAAAATTTAATTACGCTGAGAACGGAT